AGAGAGGGGGGGAGAGAGAGGGGGAGAGAGAGTGTGTGTGCCGTGGGTGGTGGTGGTGTGCTGCTGTACATAGCTGTCAGGCCTGCACCGGCGTGCACTCCTTGGCTGCTGCTGGCGAGGCGCTGGTGGGTGTGGCGGCGGCGGTGGTGGCCATGGCAGAGACTGGTAGTGCACACACGCGTGTGTGGGGGGTGCATGGAGGTGGGGTGGAGGTTGTGTGTTGGGAGTGCAGCGGCGCCGGTGCCTGCTGCCGCTGCGGGCGCGCTGCCGTGCTTTGCATCGCCGTTCATAGTGGCAGGCAAGGCAGGGGCATCAACCTTGCCCGCCTGCTTGCTTGCCCGCCTGCCCTGTGTGCTCGCAGGGTGTGCACTTCACTCGATGGGGCAACGAAGGCTGGCATGCCCCCTTCACAGACTGGCCCACAGAGCCCGGCGACAGCGCCGCTGCGGGCGGCGGCGGCAGCGGCGGCGGCGGCGGCGGCGAGGGCTGGTGGGCTGGCAGCGAGGGCAACTCGCCGCCGCTCACCCCGGGGGGTGGGGCGGGGCCAGGCCCGGGCCCGGTCGACGGCTCCACGCCCGCCTCGCCCATAGCAGCAGCAGCAGCAGGCGCAGGCACAGGCGCAGCAGACGCAGCAGCGGCAGGGCAGCGGCAGCAGCAGCAGCCTGCGCCCGCGGGGCCTGCCGACGACGCCGCGCCCGGCCAGCCGGCGGCGCCGGCGGCGCCGGCCGCGGGACCTGCGTCGTCCCCAGCCCCGCGGCGCGGCCCTAGCGCGTTTGCCAACCGCTGCAGCAGCATCGACGCAGCCAGTGTGCTTGCTGCGCTCATAGAGAGCCTGGACCAGCAGGCGGCGGCGGCAGAGGCTGGGGAGGAGGCGCCCGAGTCCCCTTTCCCGGCAGCCCTGCTACGCAGCGACACGCTCGGCGCCGCCTCCGGCCCGGCTGGGGAGAGAGAAGGCGCGGCCAGCGGGGGCGGGGCAGACGGCGGGGAGGAGCCTCTGCCTGCCGCACTGCGCCACGCGGCCGCCACCCTGGTGCAGCTGGCCAACCAGAGCCGGGTGCAGGCGCGGCAGAGCGCCCGCGCCGCGCTGCAGTCTGCTGCTGCGGCGGCGGCGGCGGATTCGCCGGACGGCGGTGGCGGCGACGCCGCCTGCCAGCCAGCCATCCCCGACCCTGCCGCCAGCCTGCCTCGGCACGGCGGCGGCGGCGGCGGCGGACAACAGGCGCAGCAGGCGCAGCAGCTGGTGCAGCAGCCGCATCAGACGCAGCAGGGGTCGCAGGCGCCGCAAGAGGCAGCTGCCGGACAGCCGCCCGGCGGCGCGGACGCGGTGGCGGCGGCGGCGGCGGCCTCGCCCCGGCCCTGCGCCGGCCTGCCGCCACCGTCGGCGGTGCCTGTGGTAGCCCTGGCGGAGCGGCGGGACCCGGGCCACTGGTGGCTGGACCGTAGTGCCTGCGGGCTTGGCGGGGCGGTGTGCCTGGGCGGCGCCAGCTGCCTGACGGAAGGGGAGGAGCGCTGGGTGTGCCACCCGCCGCCGCCCAAGCAGCAAGGGCAGGTGCCGGGGCAGGCGCCGCAGCCGCAGCCGCAGCACGAGCCATGCGTGGTGCTGAGCGGCGGCGGCGGCAGCAAGAGCCTGCATGAGATGACGGCGGCAGTACTGGGCAGGGACGACTCTGCTGCGGCGACGGCTGTGCTGAAGCAGCAGGCCGCGCAGCTGGGCCGGCTGCCCAGCCGGCGCGGCAGCGGCGGCGAGCACGAGAGCGTGGGGCGCGCGGTGGCGGCGGTGGCGGTGCGGCGCGGCAGCACGGGGGCGGTACAGTGCGAGCCGGTGCTGCTGTACTTTGGCATCATCGACTTCCTGCAGGTATGGGCCGTACCGCCTCACCCTGCGCCTCCCTGCCAGCCGCCAACCCACTCTCTTGACCTCCAGCCGGCCGCCTCTGGTGCCTCGGCTTGCTCACAGCGTGTCTCTGCCCCTCTCCCGCTGCCCTCACTCGACTAATCAACTGCAGGACTACTCCGCCCGCAAGCATCTGGAGCGGTGGTGGAAGGCCAGCGTGCACGGCGGGGAGCGGGTGTCGGTGGCCGACCCGCGCCGCTACTCCCGCCGCTTCCTGCACACGCTGCAGGCGGTGCTGCTGGAGGCCGGTAGCAGCAATGGCGCCAGCTGCGGTGGCGGCGGCGGCGGGCAGGGGTAGCTCCAGCTTTGAAGCGGAGTGGAGTGTGCCCTGTGGCGGGGATGGGTGTAGGCGCGTTGCGCCACGGTCTTGTAATGCTTCTGCTCGGCTAAAGGGTGGCGGGGTGAGGTGGGGGCGGCGCTCCATGCTGCGCCACTGCGTCGGGCGGGCGGGACACGCCGCCCAGCCCCTGGCTCGTGATGGCCTCGCCGGCTGCTTCAGATCGCGACGCATGCTGCCTACGGCCTCTTCAGGGCTGCGAGGCGCCCGGTTCGGGCGCTTGGGGGCAGCGGGACTGCATATGCCTGCAGGTGCCTGCAGATTTTGACACGCTGGCGTGGAGCGCGTTGTGATCCTGGCTCGGAGAGCCGTTTGTAGGGAGCGCCAGCGCACCCGCCTTATCCTGCGGCTTCAATTGAGCTAGCCAGGTGGTCGCCCAACCTTCCGCCATGCGCGACATGGCAAAAGTGCTCTTGGCGGCGGCCTTAATTTGCGCCGCGCTGGTGCGCAGCGATGCGTATGATTACCTGCTTTTGAGCAGGTGAGGAGCCTCTCGGGCTTGTCCACCAGCGCGACAACCCTGTGCTGCTGATCGAAACCCGCCCGCATGTGCCTCGCACCCCCATCGCTGTGCCGCTGGGGGCCGATCGGATAGCATGGGGCAGGGAGTAAGCCCGCCGCCTCAACGCGCAGACTACCACCCGCCGCGGCAGCGGGCCGGCGGGTGGCAGTCGGGTGGGGGCGCCTCCTCCCTTTGGTGCTCTTTAGGCAAGCGAAAGCCGCGCCCTCTGCTCACACCTGGCTGCTGCATGGTCCAACCCTTGCAGCGAGTGGTCTCCGAGCACCTGCTACCTAGGCGCTGCCGACGGCAAGCCCTGCACCCCTCAGCCGTGGTGCGCCGCCGCCGCTGCCACCGCCGCCGCCGCCCGCCGCCGCCTGCTGCCATGCCGCTGCCGGCGTGCTGCCCCCGGGGCGCTGCCGCGCCACCCATGCATGCCTGATCCTGAACGCTCCACCGCACGGGCTTCCCAGCTAGCCAGCCTCGGCACAGGGCTGCCGAAGCAGCAGCGGCGGCCGGATTCAGCCGCCCCCCGCACCCGCTACGCCCCAGCTCCCGGCGACGCAGCACTCGCCGCTGCATGCACCGCGCAGCCCCCCGGCACGGCCCCCGGCTGCCCTGCACCCACTCCCTATGCCCCACCCGCCGCCGCTGCCTGCCGCCGCCGCTGCCTGTGTGTATGTGTGCCTGCAGGGCATCGTTCAGTGTGCAGGGCCTCATCCCCACCAGCCTCAACCTGTCTGAGCCAGCTCCCACCGACTGCGGCGGGCCGCCGTATGACCCAGGCGCCATCCAGAGCCTACTCCCCAGTCTCACCTGTGTGGCGCCTTCCTTTGAGGGTGGGCCGCGCCGCCGCCGGCTGCACGCCGCCGCTGCATGGCACCACCGCCGCCGCGGCCGCCGCGCACCGCGCGGCCGTGCGGGCTGGCGCCCGCGGCGCGCTGCCGCTGTGTGGTTGCTCTGCTGCTGCTGCCTGCTGCTGCCTGCTGCCTGCCTGCATGGCCCTCCTGCCTGCACGGCCCACCCGCTTGCCTGCGCGCCCTCCTCGCCCCGTACCGCTTGCTTGCAGAGGCCGACAGCGCGCTGTGGGGCGGCATGTGGGAGAAATGGGGCACCTGTGCCGACGGCTTTGGCAGCCAGCTGGAGTACTTCCAGTACCTGCTCACCGCAGCCAAGCAGTACGATGTCAACGTGAGGCGATACTGCCACCGCGCACGCGGCCGCGCGGCAGCTGCGGGGCGCGCCGGCGGGAGTATTGTACCACCTACTGTTCTGCCGCCATGCCCCCTGCCTGATGCTGCTGCTGCTGCCGACCCCCGCCTTTGCTCACCACACCTCCTCCCCTTCCCCGCGCTCCCTCACCCGCAGAAGGCGGTGGCGGGCCTGGCCTCCCAGTGCTCTGGAGAGATCGCCAAGAGCGACTTGCTGAGCCAGCTGAAGAAGAAGGTGGGGGCGGACGTGTGGCTAACGTGCGACCCTAAGTGAGTGCTGGGGCGCTGGGGCTATGCCTGCCGCCTGCCTGCCGCCTGCCTGCCGCCTGTGAGGGTGCCTGTGAGGCGCCTGTGAGCATGACACATACACACGCATCGGCACACACACACACACACACACACACACACACACACA